AAAAAAAAAAAAAAAAAAAAAAAAAAAGAAAGAAATGGAACGATAAAAGAGGTATAATAATCGAAATAGAAGAAACGATCGTGAATGTGCATTTCCTCGTGAAAGAGAGGAAATCATGAATGTTATTATAATGCGTTCCCTCTTTATTCAAGATAACAAGATCACGCGATCGATAGATTTCTCAATGAGTTTGCTAAAATATCCAACAGAAAAACATTTCATCTTACTATTTCTTTTTCTTCCTTCTATATTATTTTTTCATTGGATTTAGTAATAAACTCAATTTTTTTTGAAAGAATAAATGTATGTAAAAAAACGTATAAATGTATAAAAAAACGAATAAATGTATGTAAAAAAACGAATAAATGTATGTAAAAAATGTATGTAAATAAATATATTCCTTATGATTGGCTGGATTTTATACGAATTTCAGCGTTAAAGGAATTTTAATGTATCAAAATAATACATCGAAATAAATTGTTTGCAGCGGAATGGACAAACAAACGACATCCCTGAAAATAAAAACGCAGGACTCGCCGAGGAGGATCTCAGAAAAAATGGAGGTTCCCGCCCAACAAACTAAAACACTCATAAACAATTGCCCTGCGAACGTAAAACAAATTTTTCATTTTTTTGCTTTGTATAGAAGAGAGTTATCTGCAATTATTAAGAAGCACAATTTTACGAAAATTGCAGATAAAATCAAAGGAAACTTTTCAACATGTACAGTCTACATCCACGGAACCACACTTTCGATCCAGCAAAGAAAAAGAATGTTGGCATCTTTATAAAAAAATGTGCGACAAAGGTGTTTGCGTGTCTTTTGATACGGTTTTAAGGTTTGATGTGTATAATTACAATAACTGAATTAGTTTTTTATATTATTTTTCCTAAGTTATTAATTTTATATTATTTTTCCTAAAATAGTTAATTAATATTATAAAAGAGAAAAAATTATTTTTCAGGGGCATGCTTACACCAACAGAATATCGATTAAGACAGAGGGAAGTTTCACAAAATTTACAATAAACAGCATAATCGATGGGAGATCCTTTTGTTATATACTGTTGGTATTTGAAGTAGAAAATCGTTTTAAAAATTTATTATTTTTGTCTGAAAACATGTGCTTAAGAAAGTAACATGGATATACGTTAAA